TGAACCAAAGTAGTCCCAGTTGACCTGCAGACTTGTGAGCAAGATAGATATGAAACACAGTTGTTTGTTTTGAACACCAGAGATTTAGGACAACTTGTTATAAAACACTAACATAGTAATAGCTGACTGATACAATGGCCTCTTTTCTGCCCTTGGAATATGCTGAGATGACTCCATTCTTAGGGACTTTGTATTTGCTGTTTCCTCTGTCTTGAATATTCTTTCCCCTACACCTTTACACCTTATCACTACTGAAGTCTTAGCACAAATGCTGCATTCACAAAAACACAGGGCCTGGTATCCCAAGCTAAAGTAACCATGGACACAAAATCTACCTTCAACATATGATTTTCTTGCTTTGTTTTCTGCATAGCACAATTTGCCCTTCAAATATTGATTTGTTTGTGAACATACTCACTGTCTGCCTCTGTCTATAATGATTCTATTTCCATGACAGCAGGGACTATGTATACCTTACACACTGCTCTACCTTAGGGCCAGGTATGAAGAAAAGTAAACAGAGACTTAAGGGGGAGTGCGGTGGAAAAGTGGCAGATTTATTTACATATATTTCCAGCATAACATTTTCCAGCTAAGCATCAGTATATTTTAAAAGTTTTTTATGAGTAGAAATATTACATATTATCTTTACTTTTCTTTCTTAAGTGGACAGAATATTTATCTTTTAGGTTTGAAGTTGACTTTAAATTATGGAAAAGCCAATTATCAGGACTACATGGTTTTCATGACTTAATTATAAGGAGTTTTGAGGTTAGTATTGCTCATATTAGTCCAGTGGCTGAAAGACTTTTGGAATCTAGATTATAATTTTCTTGTCCTTTTCCTTAACACGATGCTTACCACAGTTTCAAAAACATTGGAATTGAAGGTTGGAAAAAAGAGAATAAATTGTGGTAGAGTTATCTCTAGATTTTATTTCAATAGCAAAATTTATTTCAGGTATTCGTGGTGAATTTCACTTACATTTCCCAGGCAAGGAGATTTTCATGTGGCCATTTCTAAGTAGTTACATTGAAAAAACCCAAATACTTAACTTTTGATGGATGGAGAGAGAGAGGAAAACAAAACAAAACAAAACAAGGTGGAGAGAAGATAAAGGAAAATGTGTATGGGGTGAGCCAGGCAATGCTGTATGGTATATAATAGTTATGAATAATTTTTGAATAATAATATACTCTGTTTGGTAGTAATAAAAATAATACTAGTCATTTATACCCTTATCTTCTGACATATTTGTTTTGTCAAGAATCCAACTTTGCATTCTGATGATGAATCTCTGTTGATTAAAAAGCAATATTTATTCTTTTAGATAATACATTTAAACTGAAGCATACTCTCAAACTAGGAGTTACTATTTTCCACCATAATCACATGAACTTAATATGCAAATCTAGCCATATTCTGACACACACAAAAAACTAAAGATAAATAGGTAATTCAGATTTTTGAAGGCAATAGTTTACTCAAGAGGGGAAAATATTCAAAATAAATGTGACTAAACTGAAGGTAGAAGCACATATTATACAACCATTCAATTCAATTTTTTTCCTTTATACAGACTAGTATTTCTTATGATCGTTCTGGGTATTTTTTTTTTTTATTATTCAGGGATTCTGGCTTTGAATGTTTCCCAAAATGGATTTCAAGGGAGAGTTTATTTTGTCTACAGTATTCCCAAGGAGTGTTGTGGTTAACGATGTGCTCCTTCGCAAGACTGGCCGCCAAGGACCGAGGAGCAGAGGAAGCTGCTGATTGGCTCCCGGGACCGTGGCCCTTAACGTGGCTGTGACGGCCTGTCCATCACTAGCGCCAAGTGCGATTAATCTGCACCACAGTGGCTCCACCCCCCCAAAACCGGGGGCCTAATATGTTCTAAATCAAGCTGGGTTTTGAATTCAGTATTCTAAAAGAAAATCCTAAAAAAGAACATATTTTTACTGTTCAGAGCGTTGACATATTTATTAAAGCAGTCAAACAAGTACTGAGTTAGTACTGAAAAATGGAAAAACCAAAGAAAACCTGAGTATCAATTAAAAGTTATAGCTTTGCTACCCAGTTCTTTTTCTTTCTTGCATTTAGTTCACCCAGAACCAAGCAAATGGGTGCTATTTTCCATTTGGCCCGTTCTTCTTATAAAGGTAGTTTATTGATTCTGATAGCATTTTTTTTTAATGTGACTTAGAAGACTTCCTTTAGATTTTCTTTCACTCATTTTGACTCCTTTAAAAAGGCAAAGACAGAGGAAATGGAATAACATAGGGATCATTTATTTTAAAAATCTCTGCTTAGGGGCCCTGGATTTAGCTCAGTGGTTCCTGAGCCTGCCTCGAAAGTGCAAGGTCCTGAGTTTGATCTCCGGTACAGAACAAAACAAAACTCTGCTTAACATTCATTCATTCAGCAAGTGGTGACTGGCTTTGTGTTAGGAACGTTGCTAGATATTGGGAACATATTAGTGAAAAACACAACATTCTTTTCTGAAGAAGCTTACAAAGTTCAGAGGTCAGACTTGAAAGCTGGGTAAAAATATTAAAATTTTCAGTTAAAATCATACATTTGGACAGTATCTTAATTTTGAAAAATAAATATATACACATACAATACCTTTTTGAAAAATCAGAAATAGTGCTTTTCTCTTTCTGTTGCCTATGTTTTCGTTTCCTTTTTACAATGACTAGGCCAGCATGAATGCATATCAACTTTTATAATAAGAATGATGTTTAACATAAACGTTTTCTATTTTGTTTGAAATTGGAATTTCATAAACTGAGTTATTCCTATTCTCCATTATGGCAAGAAGCAGAGTCTTCAAAAATACTTATCAACTGTAATTTCAAAGAAGCTAATTGTAATTGGTTGCTACAATGTACTTTTCACTGTTAGCTTTACTTTGATATTGAAGACCCTGGAAGGTAACCCAACCTAAAAGACAGGACAGTGACTCCATGCTGAATAATGACCAGGTCAAGAGACAACAGTGGAGTGAGGAGGAAGGAATCCATCTGCTCTGTGCTTTCTGGGTGACAGACGCTAGCATTTCCACTCTGAGCCTGTTTCCCCTTTGTTACTTTCCTGAGGGACTGAGAACATCCAGAAGGTAATCCTATGTCAAAAGCCAGGGATCGACTTTACATCAAGATGAGCTTTTTTCTTTCTTTTTTTCTTACTACTGTAAGGCTGGTTTGTCTTCATTGAAACCTAAAAACCGTGAGAACTTGGGTAGTTTCCTAAGTGATGACAGAAAATCACAAGAACTAGGTGAGCAGAAAGTTTCCTCTGCATGAAGATAATGTAGCTGTCAGCTCCTTTCTCCTTTAGGTTTATACCTTCGGGTAGAAGCTCTGAAAACCCATTTACTCTTCCAAATTTTAGATGCCCTTCTTTTATCCAGGGCCCACGGAACGGGTTTTTAATTTAATTCAACATATATTTGGGAGTTACATATTACCAGCTAGGGACTGTGTTAGATTCTAAATATTAAAAGGGGCAATAAAATGTACTTTTTCATGTCTTTGGACTGGGAGAGAGGAAATATTCTTAATATAATACAAAACTTTTTAATTCTGTCCTTACAATAGATTAATTTATTTGTAGTTCAGTACGTGGTATTGCCTGCATTATAAATCTAGATCTAAAAATTTTGAAATGTGAGGTTTTAACTTATCTTTAAGAAAGAAAATTGTAGGAAATTAGTCAAGTAAATTTATAGGAAGTTTAATCACTGACAATTTCTGTATGCGGGCACAAGTCTTTTAAGAAATATATAAATGGAAAGCCCCTGGCTTTCTGTTTTGAGTATCATATGTGTACCCGTGTAAGTATGTGTATATATATAATATATGCATCATTATATACATTTCAATTTAATCTACAACCTCTAATACCTATAAGGAGACACCGCCTCGTGCTTGCCTTCTTACAAGGAAATTTGGGTGGACACCCCGACCCCTGACAAGATGCAAAGTTGTGACATTCTAGGTACTTACACAGCGAGGGTATATAACATTAAGAAGAATTTCTCTTTTCTATTTGCTGAAAGGGTTCACCACGAGTTACTTTAAGGTTCTACGTGTGCCATGAAAAATCCCTAAAAGAGGGTGTAAGGTATTAAACAAAGGGTAACATCAACCACAAGGAAAAAGAATCATAGAAGGTGAAAATAACACTTCCTGGCTCCAAAGCTCTTTAAAGTTCGGAGGCAGGAAGCCTCCCTGGCGGGGCGGGGACTGTCTCAGGCTTTGAGGACCACTCCCTGCCAAGTTCGCCTCGAGTTTTCCCCGCCCCTCCTCCACGCCTCGCCTCGGTCCCCAGACCCGGGGAGCCACTGGCGAATGCCAGCGTGGATCCCCGAGACCTGTCAGAAGCAGTCGCCCACGCATGTTTATTTTCAATGCCCACCCACTCACCATAGGCCGCATTTGCAGACAAGCCCAGGGGGTTTCGAACTACGCCTGGAAGCTCATCTTACAAACTGGGGGCCAAGCCTAGAAAAGAACAATAGTAAAACCCAGCCAGCAGCGCGGCCCGCAGCTTCACAGGGCCCGCGGGTGGCGCGCGGAGCGGCGCCCAGGCGGGGGGCCGGAGAGGGAACCCCTAAAAGGCGCGCTGCCCCTTTAAAAGGCCGCGCATCTCCCGGCCGCCTTCCTCCCCGGGGCTCCAGCTGTGATTGACGCTGGGCGGCGAGAGGAGGCGCCTGGCGCTAACAAAAGTGCGGCCCGCTGGCGAGCGGCGCCTGGTCGCGCGTCTCCACTGGCTCGGGCGCCCGCAACAAGTGGCCGCCTCGCCCTCCCCGGGGAAGCTGTGTGCGGGGCGCACGGAGGCGGCGGCCAGAGCTGGGGGCCGGGCGCCCGCGCGGCTGGGCGCGCACCGCGGGGCGTCGGGGCGCGCGGATGGGGACCCCGCGGTGGCGGCGGCGCGCCGAGCCTCTGGGCGGCCCCGGGGCACGGACTCGGAGCGGCGTCGCCCCCGCCGCCCGGCGCGGATTGTGAGAGCGGCGGCTCCCCGGGCCCCGCCCGCAGCCCTCGGGGTGCCAGGAGGGGACCCGGCGCCCCTCCCTCCGCGGAGCAGCGGCCGCCCCGGACCAGATCAGCCCCGAGCGCGGGGCGATGAGCGGCTAACGGTCCCGTCGGGCGGGCTTTCCTCGGGCCAGAGGCGCAGGGCGTGCGCCCAGCTATGCGGTGTCCCGGGAGACGGCGGGCATGACGGCGGCAGGATGGGCGCGAACAATGGCAAGCAGTACGGCAGTGAGGGTGAGTGGCCGCCCGTCCGCGCTCCGGGGCGCCCCGTCCCGCCGGTCTAGGCCCGGCTGACTCCCGAGTGGGTTGGCGCCGGGGTGCCTTTCCCGGGGGTGTCTGCGTGAGCCCTTCCCTGCGTGTTTGGGACGGCCCGAGTGCTGTGTGCTGCTTCTGAGCACGTGTGCCTCGACTTTCCTCCCGGACGCCCGGGTGTCCGGCGACGGCTCTGCAAATTGTAGAGGATGCTTTGGAAAAATCACGCGGTTAAACTTTCCCAGGCCTTTGTGTTCCAGTTCCCTGGCCTTTCCTGTAGCAGGAAAAAAATAAAAAAAATTTTAAAAAGGAAAAGAATAAGAAAAAAGGAAAAAAAAAGAAGAAAGAGAAAAAAACTTCCTTGGGGAGGCGAAGTTAAGCTTGCATTCTTTGCTGTCTGCCCCTGGTCTGACAGCTCCGTGAAAATAACCATCTAAGGCCCCGCGAGGCGTGGAATGGCTGCGAGCTTTGTCTGGGCCCTCTCGGGGCTCAAGACGGGCAAAGAACCATCTGTTACGTGGGGCTGGAAGTTGCACAGAAATATTGCCTGTCAAGTGGGAGCTTGGAAGTCAGGGAAACTTTAAACCCCGCCCACTCCTGAAAGGCTGACGGATGTGCGGGTTGGCTTCTCCCTCGTCCCTCCTCCCCCGCTTCGCCTTGAACCGTAGTGCTGAGGCTCGGGTGATTAGCAGCGTGCCATTGATGGGCACGAGGCAGAGGCGCTTTGCTTTCCGCAGTTCAGAGGTTAGGCTTGGTGCAGTGAACTTGGCTGCCAGGGAGCGGGAGAGCCGGGTCGGTTTTACAACCGCGCCCCCGCGGACTGGCGATTACCAAGGCGGGGCCAGAGCTCGCAGACTGGTAGGAATGCAGAGCAGCTCTCCAGAACGCGGTGTTCAGGATCCTCTTATCTCCTGCTCAGAGCTTGGGGCTGTGGCCACAAGCTGTGGGTGTCTCTTCCCTTGTTTGGATCTGTGTTCTTTTCTCAGCAGCTTTGTGGAGCTACAGCAGAGACCGACCCTAAAAGAACCATATCCACCTGAAACTTTTGTCTAAATCATTCTTTTCCAGATCGTCGTGTTTTAAATTCCATGTGTGTATGAGTGCCCATGCACACATCTGTGTATCTATATCTGTACGTAGATATCTCCATCTCTATCCTGGGCAGTTAGTTAGGGGAGAGATATTTTTGACGACTTTATAATTTTTTTAAAAAGTTAAAGGTGTCGTTTTTTGATAACAAATGAGAAATTATGCCAGAAAAGATTGTTGGAGAATCTTGGCCACTCCCTAGCTTGTCTTTCAAGTTAATGTTTTAAAAATGTGTGGAGAAAGGAAAGATTAAACTTTCTAACGGGAGTTAAAAAGCTTTCGGTGATTGTCTCCTGTGCTTGTCAGTTCTGGGTGTGCATACATTATGACACTTAAACAGCGTGTGTGTGTGTGTGTGTGTGTGTGTGTGTGTGTCTGTCTGTCTGTGTAGGGTGGCAGCCCGAGAAGTACCTGGAGTCACTCTTGTCTTTCAAGTTAATGTTTTAAAAATGTGTGGAGAAAGGAAAGATTAAACTTTCTAACGGGAGTTAAAAAGCTTTCGGTGATTGTCTCCTGTGCTTGTCAGTTCTGGGTGTGCATACATTATGACACTTAAACAGCGTGTGTGTGTGTGTGTGTGTGTGTCTGTCTGTCTGTCTGTCTGTGTGTAGGGTGGCAGCCCGAGAAGTACCTGGAGTCACTCCTGTGCAGTCTCCAACAAAACCCCTGCACAGAACTCCCAAATCCTCTGCAACTTGTTCTTATATCCCGGCATTCTGTATTGTGCAGTGTGTGGTACATGACGACTTCCTGTCTGAGCTGCAGAATTTTCAACCCTTGGGAGAGAAAAGGGGAGACAGGGAGCTAATGTTCTCCAGCTGTTCCGGTAAATGCTACCTCTGCATTTTCACTTCAGCTGAAGTCACATTTTACTGGGCTCAGGTTTAGATACATTGTGGACTTTTTATAGGAGAAAACCTCTTGTGTCCAGCTGATTGAAGGGGACCAACAGGAAAATTTGGGCAGAAACTGTGAGTTTTGGCCAGAGATACACTGAGTTTTGTTTTCATGGACTCTATCAAATACATCAAGATTCCTCAATAATAGGCTAGAAAAAAACAAAAAACAAAAAGGAAATATGACCATTTTCCCTGTCCCCTCCTCCATTATGCTATGCCCTTCCTAAATAAGGTTTTATATATAAGGAGGCTTGGTCAACACTGTGATGTTGTGCTATGGCGTGATGACATCCATGCAAACAAGCCTGTGGAATTTGGTGTGCCATCTTTCTTGTCTAAAGCTTCAAATTTAAAAGAAAGTGAAAGCAGTCTCTAGACATAATACTCTATTATCAAAGGAGGCTGCAAATTAAGACAGTTTTCTACCTTTGGTGCAAATTAGGCATGGTGCAGTATTTCAGAGATAAGAAGGAAATGATCAATAAATGCATATCAATAGACTGCAGTGAGGCCACTCAACTGTGAAATACTGCTGTTTGTGTGTGCTTCAAAAATCTGTAGCAATTACATCTTACTAATTCGTGGCAGTTGATACCATCCTGCAGATGGCTCCTTGAATATACAGATACTGAATTGGAAGAACTTTTATTTTAATTTTTTTTGGTACCGAGGATCGAACTTGGGCCCTTGTGGTTGCAGAGCAGGCGGCGGAACCACTGAGCTAAATCCCCGGCCCTGGAAGAACTTTTAAAATGTCAATATTTCACTGGTAATCTTACTTTCCCCTGCTCTTGGAAAATACTTTTTTCATTAAAAAGCAACAGTTATTCTGGAGGCTTTCCTTACCTTAGCAGATTCAGTGGAGGCAGAAGCATCAACTCAGGGTAACCTGAGGAAGGCAGTGGGGTTGCCTGGGAGGTTGTCAGAAAGGAAAATCTTGGATCCTTTCTGAAACTCCCCAGTCACTTATCATGTGCACACTGAAGTTCTGGGAAGGTTTTGTGTAAGACGAGAGCTAGAACATCAATTTGGGAATCTGGAATTTAATTCCAGTTTCTGCTCCTGGGTCTGTGTTCTCTAATATGAAGAGTGGAATTCCGTAGTGGCCTGATTAGTCCTTGTATCTTCCTTGACCATGTGGTCATTTTTTTCATTTTACTCTCAGAATGCTTTAATGGACCACTTAAGAGAAGATTAGCTGTGGGAAGACATGTTATAATTAATAGGGACGTGAAAGCTATTACTGCCAAGAAATCAGTGAACAGCTCTCCTCCTGTGGTCATTCCTCTTCCTCTCTCATCTTTATCTCCCTTGTTCTCACATCCCCGCCTAGCCTAACTCAGTAGGTCCTTAAATCCTTGATTTTCTTTCTAGATCAAAGTTATGTGTGAATCCAGAGTGCCTATTTCCGAAGTGTTTTGTTTTCCTAAAGCATAGTGAAGACTCAGATTAATGATCTAACTTGCAGCCCCCCCCCCCAGCCGCCCACTGCCTTTAGGCAAACTTGAATTTTGCTCTAGCAGAAAGTTACCAAACTGTTCTTGATCCTCAGCTTTCTAGAAACATAAGCGACTGTCTAAATGATTAGTATGTTCTGGGAAATTCTTTTATGGAAGACCATTTTTTTTCTCTTTATCTTCTTTAGAAAATGTAAGTTATATTCTGGTGTGTAGAAATCTGGAGAATGACTTGAGTAATTCAAAGCCATTAGAACCATTAGCTTTGACTCCAGTTAAGCCAAATAAACAAATCTCAGTTCAAGTAGGAAGAAGGGAGCTGCTTTCCCTGCCTTTTAAGGTTTCTGAGCCTCACCATCACTTACTCAGTGGTTTCACAGTTCTGTTTACTCTACTTCAGCAGGTCAGAGGCAGCAGCACTTAACACTGTTAACAGCTCCTTTTAGAAGCCCTGGGTATCTTGAATCGGAGCTGGAGAGACATAGCCGTGGGGTTTGACCCCTAGTAGCGCTCTACTCTATCAACCAAGAGCCTTTTCACCATCTCAGGTTGCTGCCATCAGTTGAGGAGAGCTAGTTGCCTGAGAGCATAAATCATCACAAATCCATCACCACCTGGGGAAACATATCTTGAAATAATAATAATGTTGACACCTAATGCTTATCGAGTATTTGCTATGTGCAGGCATGATTCTAAGCACTTCACACGCATTGCCTCATGGCAACCTCAAATGAGCCTATGGAATGGGCACTCATGTGTACCCTGTTTTACTAAGAAGAAAACTGAGGACCAGAGAGGGCGATAATTTCTCCAGAGTTGTATAGTAACAGTGGGCTGAATGGGGACTCTGGGCCAACTCAGTGTAATGCGGAGTCATTGGTTCATTCGTGAGCTAGCATCTGTTGACTTTTTGCATTGTACTACGTGCCACGGACTTTTGGATGCTTTTGATACATTGGTAAATAAAGATCTTGTCCTTATCAGTTTTATATCCATGTGTGTGTGAGAGTGTGTGTTATTGGGAAGGAAAGGATGCGACTGCTAGCACACAGGGTAATTCAGTAAACCGTATGGTTTATTACTAGGAGCTAAGGTGTCTGCATACAAGAAAATTGGCAAGTTAAGGGAACTGGGAGGGTAGGTGGAAGAGGGCATTGCAGTTTTAATTGGTCAGCCTTGGCCTTGTGGAGAAGTTTGCATTTAGGCCAAGACTTAAAGGAAGTGGAGGCCTGAGCTTTGAGGATCCAGATAACCTGTTGGTGTTTTAAACTACTGTGTTATTAAATGGAGGTGGATACCTTTTCTACTTGTCTTAGCTCAGACTGCTGTAAGAAATTATCATACATTGCCTGGCTTACAAACTATAGAAATTTATTTCTCATAGTCTGGAGGCTGGAAGTCAGAGATCAGAGTGCTGATATGATCAGGTTCTTATGAGGGTCCCTTTCTGTGCTACAGATTGTCAGGTTTTTCTGGTGTCTACCCATGAGTCCCTCCCCTCTGCCCCTGACCTCCATCCCAAGCCTTTGTTATAACT